TGAATATTACTGGAGTTTTTTCCCAACACCAAATCGTTATTTTTAACACCTCGACACGTGTTTCGATCACCAAGTGATCATCTTCAAAGAGGAAGATAAAAACAGTTTTAATATCACTTGGTGATCGAAACACGTGTCGAGGTGTTAAAAATAACGATTTTGTGTTGGGAAAAAACTCCAGTAATATTCAAACAAGTTACTACCAACAATTTTAAAAACCAGTTAGGAGTTTCCAATATGTACACATATTATTCGTTTTCTGTTTGTTTCAACGAATATATTTTTCAGATTATTCGAGTTGGCAAGAATTTGGAATTATGCTCTGATGGGAATGGTAGTGTATCTGATGATATCGAAATACAATTTACCAATGAAGGCATACGAGATGATATATAGTTATATTGAAAATGTTGGTTGTTGAATTTACTAGTAACTGAATGTTCCTGAATATGTTATTAGTTATAAATTTCGATCAATAAATAATTTTGAATTGTTTCCAATTATTTATGTTCGACAAAACCTTGAAGAATCTTTACTGACCGAAAGCATCTAAGAAATCATTCGTTACTATGTTACTACTTTCAGTGATGTTCCAGGTATATTAAAAAAATAAGGTGAATATTCAAATTTTTAAACTACGTAAATTCGGACATTCGATAATCGATTTTATTTTAATGTTGGTACACTCGTCTCAAACATATATTTATTTATTCGTTGTTTCTTATAACATACAAATACAATAATTATTAAATCTATGAAACTACAAATGAGGCTAGAAACAACATGTACCGGAACGGATCTTAGTTCTAGCCTTAAAGAAAACTAAACTAGATAACAGAAACTAAAACGAGAAAAATAAATATATATAGTTCACAGNGCCTCTAGCCCTTATGACTTCTTGGAGTTGGTTGGTAACCCATCCACGGAAAATATAGAACTCAACCACGGAGGAGAAATAATTTCAAACGAAAGAGATTTGGACACTTTTTTGTATCGACTGTAGGTGATCAGCTCGAAACCCATTTCAACGATAATTTATCTATGAATTGCACAACTTAGCGTTTCCAACTAATTAATTCCTTCTCCTTTGAACCTTTCACCGCTACCGAAATAGCAGAAATAATACAAGATTTAAAAAAGATGAAGTCGCAGTCTATCTCCTGAAAAAGTGTGCTTCAGACATAGCACCATATTTAACATTCATCCTGAATAAATCAATTGAATTAGGACAATTTCCAAGTCGCCTAAAAATATCGTTAGTGACACCTATTTACAAAAAAGGAGATAAAATGTCCCTCATGAACTACAGACCTATTGCGCTTCTGAGCACTTTATCAAAGGTTATAGAAAAAGGTATATCAAAAAGAATAAATAGCTTTTTATGTGTTTGATATACTGAATAGAAAAAACATGGATTCAGAGAAGGTCATTCTACTGAAACGGCAACAATAGAGTTCATACAAATAATAAACGAAAAACTAAAGTCTATCCAAATCCAAGATAGAGTAAAACAAAACAAAACCGAAGCGTGATGTTCACGTGATCGCCCAGTGTCAGATGGAAAGGGCAGCGTTCATTGGTGAATTCGCCTTCTTGGTACGAGTTCGGTACCAGCACAGGGTTGCAATCAGTCGTTGACGTGTTTGTGTGGCGTGCGTTATAGTATATTGTTTTAAATTGTTTTCCGAAATGTCCAGTACAGACACTGCTGATGACACTGTGAGCCCAGCCAGGAAACGATCCAAAAAAAGACATTCGAGTGTTGAGATGAAAGAAGTGATTTTAAATGTGTTCAAGAAAGAGATGGAAGAAATTGATACACCGATTGTCGACGACGAAGTCGTATCGAAAGTTTCCGATAAAATTGGAGTGTGTTGCACTTCGATTTACAGTGTTTTACGGAAATATAAACAAAATCATACATTTTCCAAACCGAATACAAATCAGAATCGTCAAACCATTATAGAATCAATAGATGATGCTGATGAACATGCAATCAGGAGGAAAGTGCATGAGTACTTTTTCAGAAATGAAATACCAACGGTAGACAAAGTACTCAAAGAAATGAATGAAGATGTTTTATTGCCAAGTTTTAAGCGGTTAACATTCCATAAAGTATTGAAATATTTGAATTTTCTATGAAAAAAACGAGGGCGCAACAGTTTATTATTGGATAGAGAGGAAATTGTGTTATGGAAGAAAGAGTATTTGACCAAAATTAAATATTATAGGGAACAATTTATTATATGGATGAAACCTGGGTTGATGCTGGTCATACTACCCCCAAAGTATGGGTCGATGAAACTGTGACCTCATCTAGGAGGGCCTCTCTAGATGGACTATCCCCCGGATTAACAAATCCATCAGGTAAACTTATATTTATATTGAGACCCGCCTCAATCTCAATACATAAAAAGTAACACTCGTATTTGTCAAATCATCTAAGAGAACAATTCGTTCAGGCCAGTCTCAACACCCTACACAGTAGGTTAATGGACTGACACCTTCTGTAGTGTGGCNCTCATCATTTCTACTTCAACATCAATGTAACCATTCTCACATAAGATGTAAGTCAAGAGCATGTAATATTTTTGATTTTACTGTAAAACTTATATTATTGTAGTTTCCCTGATGATGGAAATGAAATTTTCCGAAAGCTTGGAATAACTTAACCCTTCGGCGGGCGCGCTTTGTAAAATCCTATGAGCGGGCGCGTTGCGGCACTGAGGACCGCAAGCAGAAAAAACACCGAAGTGTTCGGTTAACTCAACTATATTGCCACAAAAAGTTCGAAAACAGAAAATTTGTTGGTTTTCATAACATATATTTGGCTTACAACTTTATAACCCAAAAAAATAATTGTATAAAAATATTTTCGAAAATAAATAAATTGAATTCTTGTGTCTAATCTATATCTCGATTCCTAAACATAATTATAAGTTTTCTTCTGCTGGCGGGAACAGACAGTTATTACAGTTCTTACTATGTCCTTCACAAACGAAATTCTGACACCTAGAACAGGTACACGTAGTTTTATTATTTTTATGAGCACTGCATATGTGACATCTTCCTTAACGATTTGGAGTAAATGGTACAGGAACTTCTAATTCTCGATATCGGAAAAGGAACTCATTGACGTCTTTTGGCAGTGTTCTCAATTGAGCACGCTCTTTCAGGTGGTCTTCCATTAGAGAAATGCCTAATTCGTACAAAAAATTTCGCCTTCTGGGATTTTTTTCCTCCTGCTTCGTATTATTATAAATGATTTCAGAATTGATTCCTCCAATATCAAGAATTCGAAAAAAAAGCAAGAGGCCATCTCCGTGTTGTCCTTTGTGTTGAATATGAAGCACATTTTTGATCCACCGTATCGACGCCACTTTTTGTTCGATTATACTCTAAAATGATTTCGGGCTTGTTAGTTTCATCATCTACTTCTCCCGTTTGGTTCGTAGTAGAAAGTAAAATCACAGTCTTATTCCTCTTGGTAACATAGGAAACCAGCGTCATGTCATATTGGAATCCAAATAGACTTGAACCAACAGTGCGTACTTTATTTGGAACAAATTCTGTTTTTTCAGTGTGCCAATCAAAGTGAGACCATTTTGAAGGAGATATTCTGCCGAAGGGTAACTAGTATAATGGTTATCGGTTGTCAAATTCCTTTTCGTTCGTTTTATAGGGTCTACTAATCTCTCCACTATATCGAATGGTTTATTGGAAGTCTAATAGAGTCCTTCTTGTTGCGTTCCACAGTGTAATTCAAAATTCCATGTGTAGAATGTCTTGCTATCACAGAGGGCATACATTTTTAGACCGTATTTGGCCGGTTTTAGGGGCATATATTGGACGATTTTAATTCTATTGGATAGTTTTATATAAGTATTCTCATAATTTACGGACATTAATAATTTTCATATTTTATTTTAGCAATAAGCAAAATGTAACTATGGTATTTTGGCCTGTCAATCCAATGTTTAATTGGTATCTGATCAATGAACTTCTATCTATCTATCTATTCTGAATATCCAATTGGGGGATATTGTGTCTTTTGAGGTTGTCCCAAATGCGCTCTATCGAGTTGAGGTCGGGACTGCGTGCCGGCCATGGTAAAACTTGAATCCCGACCTCATTAAGGTACTCGGTGACGGATCTTGCGGTACAACACCGTTCATTGTCATGCATTAATCGAAAGTTGTCCCCAATGAACGGTGTAGAAGATATGACGTGGTCTTGAAGAACCTCTTTCACGTATTTTTGAGCACGGTCTACCGACCGTGCCAGGCGGTTCGACGTGGGTGGGTATACGTGTTAGAAATCATACGTTAAAAGGTCATTCGTAGGGATACAATAACTGGTTAGCGAAAAAAAACATATTTAAAACATAACATATTGAAATTATGCTTTTCAATTACTGCCATGAAAAGCTTTCTCAACAATTCTACCACTGAACAATTTTTTTCTGATCATCAAAATTGTGCGTTTCAAAGTCTACATGAAAAAAACCAAAAGCTATGTGTTTCAAAGATGATCCAAGCAAAACATCAACTGTGCAACATACTCTTCATGTCTTATTGAAAAAAAAAATAATTTTCCATCAATAACTATTGATACCCCATTTGAAAAATCAAGTTTTCCACACCATTGAATTCTACGCAAAAAAGTGTTTCGAAAATGTTTCATAGAAAAAAAAAACTTTTGATAATGCACCTTTTCGAAAAACATACTGTAACTCAGAAACGATGACAGTTATCTATATGCGGTTTTCACTATTGACTTTGTCATACAATTCAACCCTGAAACACAGCCATCAGTTTTGATCTTCCTAGTTTGAAAACAGGAGTTTTCCTACAAAATTGTCTAATTTGGCACACTCTGTACAAAAATAGGCAAGATATAAGGATAACAAATTTTTATGAAAGCTGTGCCTTCTTATGTTGTCACAGCCAGCAAAGCTGTTTCTTAAGCACCGTGTCCTCATCTATAAGTTGGAAACAAAGTTCTTTTTCACATAATCACATAATAATATGGGAGCCCAAGCGGGGATTTCGGGATTTACTGAAGCGCGGCAGATTAATATACAGGGGGATATCTTGTACCCGGTTAAGTACCTCCACCAAATATGAGCCCCATATATGAGGCCGCCTGAGAGGGATACAGGATCAGATTAGTAAAAAAAAATTGATCATCAGAAATTCTCGAGCGCGTCAAATTAAGGTAGGGTGAGTTAATTACCTGCTAAAAAGTGCATATTCCAGTAATCTGACAAGAAAGGGGAGGGCAGCAAAGTTGTAAAAAAATAACGTCATTTCGACATTCTTGAGCGTAGCTAATTTTTTTTATTTTGAAGGAAATGATTCAAGGATAACGGAAAATATTTAATCTGACAATTTCCGTAAGCCAAAATAACAAAAATTCGTCGATAAACTTTAATGCGTTCAGCTTTGTGATACCTATATTTCCCTCTCCAAATTTCTATTCCCCCATTCTCTATTCACTTTTTCTCTATATATTACTCTCTCACTCCGTCCCCACTCTGAATTCTGTTGCCATGACGCCATCACAGCTGATCACAGAGACTCGTTCGTGATGAAGATGATTAATTAATCAATTAATTGATTAATTAATCATTAGTTAATTAATTAATTGATAGTAACACGTTACTACGTGTTAGGAAATCATAATGAAGAAAAAAGAAATTGAACTTTCTATGTTTTTTACCACTTTTATTTATAACTAACGTTACTTCAGTTTCGTCCTATAAGGACATTTCCAAACTTATACAATATATAAGGACATTTTCAAACTTATACAATATATAAGTATAAGTATAAGGACATTTTCAAACTTATACAATATATCAAAGATATAAATTATCGTCATTCACTACCCGTCTCCTGCCTATGAGGAAACATACATTTTCAGAACGCAGTGTTTCAATATTTACCAGAGTTTCACACATCTGAAAGATCATTCACCCTTTCAAATTGATTTTTTACTCTACCCAATAATTATTTACTATCAGTATCTTTGTTGAAACTAAATTTAAGAATTAAAAAAACACTGAAAAACCATTTCAAACGTTTTATTGTTCACTTACATATGCTATTGAATCATCATATTAATGGAAATATCTTTCACGTTGTTTCATTGATGTGAAAATTGTTTTCTGTCTCAACGTTATGATGGCCCCTTTCTTCCTCCTCATCAATTATACTTATATCTCTCACAGATGGCCGGTGACTCCTTCTCCAACCTTCTGGTTCTATTGGGAATTTTGTTTTCGTCAATAATCTTGGACCCAGGAGTGTGATGAGGATCGCCCCGGTAGGTGCTGTCAACATTATTGACAGTACACACGTGGCCAGGATTTTATCAGCATATTCATATTCTATCGTGCCAATAGCAACCATTCCTAATGCTACTGGCCCCAAAGCAGCCTGTAAGAGAAAATTTTCAATATAGTTGCTGGTTTTTCAATAAAATGAATAATAAGCATGTGTCTAATTATCACTTGGGAAACATCTGTATTCCGGAAAACCACGCACACTGGACAGTATCTGAATCATGAATCCAACCACCATCAATCTACCAAAAAAGAATCGTCAAGACTCTAGTCGATTGTGTTTTCGGGCTCTGTAATACAAAAGAAGGTTTCGAAGAGGAACTAGGCACCATCAAAAAATGAGCTCCAACGGAATGGTTACTCCAAAGTGATGATGGAACAGAATTTGGCAAAAAGACAGCAAGAGCCTCGCAAGGAAGAGAAGCCGTCACAACTAGTGCTTGTCGTTCCCCACGTCGATTTCTAATCAAAGGGGGACACCTTTCAGACTAATCAGATTTTTTGTAGTACGTACCCCCTCGGAGGGGTGCGTCCGACGACCCTTATTAAGATAGGGAAACTAGGTCGAGTGGCACATTGTTTCAAAGGTCTTTCGAATACCTTCACAACTCTGTTAAAAGACAAATTGCCATAATAATAATACCGACAGACAACTCGGTAACTTGTATGCCTGAATAGAAAAAATTTCGAGCAGTTCTTCTCATCAGTTTTTTGTTAAATGAAATCTCTTTTTAAAATCAATACACACTTCACTTCTTCCAGTTTTCATTAGAACATCGTTCAATTGTTTTGTTTAAACGGGTCGTGTATTGTTATTTGTTTAAAAATGCCTACACTACTGCTGGAAGGGTTTCAGTTATTGCTATATTTTATGGCAAAGACCAAAATGCTGATAGAACATCAATTTTATTTAACGAGCAAAACCCTGGTAAACACCTAAATAGAAATCACGTTCTGGATTTGGTCACAAAATTCAGGGAGACAGGTTCGGTTTTAAATAAGAAAAGAAATGTTCAAAAAAGGGTAGTGAATGACGATAATGCGATTGGAGTGATTGGTCAAGTCATCGCCAATCCCAGGTTAAGTACCAGAGGTTTATCAGCAATGGCCGGAATAAGCCATATAAAGTTCCTATGTGAGTTACCCTTATTAGGTGTTACTTTTTTTGTGTGTGCTTTAAAAACAATTATTGGGATTTATTAACCTTAAAACAGTTTTTTAAACTTTTCTGTGTCATCAGCACTCACGGAAATCAGCAGGTTGTATTCGTTGTGTAGATAAATTTTTAGTATGATTCACTTTTTTATCAGAAGCATAAAATATCCACGTCAAAAAGCAACCTTCATAAGGAGGGGCCACTCAATTTACCTAAAATGTAAGGGTGGTAACCATCCTCATCCCCCGAAAAAATCTCCTCGTAATAAACAAATAATTCTTACTTTTTTACGAAATCAAATGTACACGTATTATTAGCAGGTTGTCATGAAAAGCAAACATTTTTTTTATGAAAGTTCTGAACGTAATTTGTACCTTGAAAACAATTTGATTTATTTTGAAAAAGAGTTGAACTCAATCAAAATACCTTTAAATCTTCAAATTATCTCAAAAACTTATCGTTACAGAAATGTTCTTTTGACAGAGTTGTAAAGGTATTCGAAAGACCTTTAAAACAAGGTGCCACTCGACCTACTTTCCCTATCTAAATAAGGGTCGTCGGACGCACCCCTCCGAGGGGGTGCGTACTACAAAAAATCTGATTGGTCTGAAAGGTGTCTTTCTTCAATTAGAAATCGCTGTGTCCGAGCTTTTTTTTTAAAATCTCACCTTTTATATTCAAAAACGGCTCTGTTAAGTTTTCGTTGTCACACACTGTATAGAAATCCGTTACCTATCAACTCCCGCCAAACGATCAACTCCCGCTAAACCGGTAAAGCGGAGATGGGAAAGAGGGGATAGGTGAATGCGTTCAAATGACCTATAAATAGTCATATTTCGGAGCAATAGTCCAGTCATCACCCGAAGACGATTGTGTATACTAACAATCGAAAGGTCATAAAGTAAGTTGGTTCGAAATCTTTTTCAATTTTGAATTTGATTTCGTGCTTATATTCATTCTCATTCTTTCAATTTTTCATTACTCTGCGGCGATTTTCATTTCGTATCTTGATTATTTTGCATTTCATCAGTTCGGACTTCCATTGTTTAATATGATATAAATTGATTTGAAATTCCTGAAAGGATCAATGACATTGGAAAAGTAGCTGGAAATAACAATGATATCAACCAAAAAATTTGAAATTACAATAAAATACAATCAATACCTAGAAAATCAAGAAATTCAGCTATTAACATGGGATGAAGATTAATATTTATAGGTCATTCGAGTGCTTTCAACTATTCCCTCTTCCCTCTCTCAGCTTCATCGGTTTCAGCGGAAGCTGGCCGTTTGGTGGAAGTTGATCGTGTTCCGCTTGATTAGAGGTTTCCATATGGTGCGTATCTCTACGCTAGCTTGACTGAATCCGTTGTTGGACAACATATATGCGGCTTCTTTGAATTTTCTCCTAAACCAGTGTTCCTCCTTTTGGATGATTTCAGCTTGAGCCCACTTGATGTTATGTTGATGAGTCCAAACGTGTTCTGCTATTCCTGATTTGCTGTTTTCTCCTCTCTGTGTGTATTTCTTGTGCTCAGCAATGCGAACCCTCAATGGCCTTTCAGTTTCACCGATGTATGATTCTCTGCAGTCGCAGCGTATCCGGTGAATGAAACTGGTTCTGATGTTGAACTTGGACTCAATCCTTTTTATCATTTCCGACAATCCTCTGATGTAGGAAAGTACAAGTATTGGTTGTGGCGGATTCTCTTCTTTGTGGAGCTCTTGCTGTCTCCTAGCTAAAGCCTGTTCCACCATCACTTTGGAGTACCCATTCCGTTGAAGGTCATTTTTGATGATGCCTAGTTTCCTTTCGAGACCTTCCTTTGTATTACAGAGCCCGACAGCGCGGTCTAGTAGAACTTCACTAGTTCGGACTTCCATTGTCTAATATATAAAATGATTTGAAATCCCTGAAACAGCTAAAAAAAAGAATTAAAAAATTAATAGCTGAAAATAACAATTAGGTATATTGAGCAAAAATAACCTGAAATGAAATAATAGTGAGATAAAATACAAGTAAAAATAGAACGATTGAACAGAAGATGAAGAAATAAAAATGGAAATTAAAATAAATAGTTCAGATTCCAAGCCACGTAATTCACGATGTTTCGATTGTTAGTATCTAGTGATCAACACCCGAGGGCGACATCAAGTGTGGGCTCAAGCTGAAATCATTCACAAGGAGGAACACTGGTTTAGGAAAAATTCAGAGAAGCCGCATACAACAACGCATTTAGCCAAACTAGCGTAGAGATAAAAAAAAGGGATTTATTTCCAACAGGAGTACACAGTTACAGGAAATGCTATTATTACAGAGTATATATAAGGAATAAATATTAAAAATAAGTGAATGTAGAAATGTATAGAAGTAAATGCTAAAACAGAGTATATTTAAAATATTCCTATAAGTAGAATTCCAAATATTACTGGAGTTTTTTCCCCAACATCAAATCGTTATTTTTAACATCTCGCCACGTGTTTCGATCACCATGTGATCATCTTCAAAGAGGAAGATTAAAACTAAGGACTAGTGCGAGCTAATCCTATTTATGCTATAAAGGTAACTCATACAGGTGAACCATCCAGGCATACCAACCTAAATTAATTTTACAATTTTGCCTTATCTATTATTTTACAATATATGTTTATATAAAACAATTTTTTTTTCAGCTATATAAAAATTAATTTCACAATATTGACTCTATCCAAATTTAATTTTTTTTTCAATGTATCCTTATGTAGTAATTGGTAAACCCAACAATATTATTTTATTTCAACAAGCTATATAGTATGCTCTTTGGTATAGGGCCGTCATCGTTATTCATAATATTATTGTGTTTACTTATTTCTACACTCTCATAGGCATCTAGTTGCCTGTTGTTGTTAACTTGTCTAACTAATCTTAATGAACTGAAGTCTATGGAATGGTTTTGTTGCAAACTATGATGGGCGACTGATGATTTTTCAGATCTTCCATATTTCAAGTGTGCTATGTGTTCCTTATATCTTACTTTGATAGATCTTTTTGTCTGTACATAATATTTTGCATCGCAGTCCTTACATTCAATTTCGTAAATTCCAGACTTTTTAGAATTCTTGACTTTGTCTTTTGGACTTCCCAAAAGGCTCTGTAGTGTATGACTTGTTTTAAAAACCACCTTCATACCTACTTCCTAGGAAATCTTTCCAAAGTTTCTCGTATATTGGTGGTATGGAACTGAGATGTATTTATCTTGGGTTTTGTCCTTTCTGAAAGTCAAGATTTCGTTCATTCCTAACCTAAGCTTCTTTTTCCTTATTATGTCATCTACAATACCCCTCGAGAAACCGTTAGTGTCTGCTGTTTTCTGTATTGTACGTCTTTCTTTTGTGAACCTATCATGTGTTAGAGGGAAAGTCAAAAGACGATGCACTAAAAAATTCAACCCAGCAATTGTTTTTAAGCTCAGGGGAATTTGATGACTTCCTTTCTGAGTTCATAGTGATGTCTTGTATACTTTTTTTTATGTGTCATCAAGTAATATTAGGGTTACATCCTCAACAATGTATTTTGTTCACGTATGTATGTGTATATACTCTATTTTGTCAACCTAACCTGTAAACTAGTACTTTAGGGGTAAACTTTTTTTGTAGTAAGTGTGTTGGTTCTACACCTCACCAGGCACGTCCAATCCATTGTATAATAGGAAAACGGATTTAATCAATTTTGATTTGATTTGGGGCTTCTTGTGGGCTTCTTGTGGGCTTCTTCAATGGCCAGAGTTTCAAATCACTCCATATAAATATTCGTCCTTCGGGTTAGAAATAGCAGTTTCGTCCACAGCATCCCTGTAATTCCATGATTACTTGTATCGGTAAAGTGTTTTTGCGACAGGGACTTTGGTGTAAAGGCTTTCCACATCGAAACTGATCAGTTGATCCTGCTCTTTTACTTCGATTGCCCCTAGTAGTTCAACAAAATGCCTTGAATTTTCCACAAACGATGATGTTTTTCCTTGCAGTGGTTTGATTATTGGTAGTGAAAATTTAGACAAGTTCCGAGTGGCTGAATCTCTGGAGCTGATGATCGGTCTGAGCGGAACATCCTTCTTGTGGGTAGTCCATACAAGTGAGGGGGCTCACTGTGGTACGGTGTTAGCGATGATCTCTCTTTTTTTGAAAAATAGACTTGCCGTTTTTTCAACGTCTGGTACAACTTCCTTTCAATTGATGCAGTAGGATCCCTTACGATCTTCGTGTATTTTTCTATCTGAAGCACCTCTTCGATTTTCTGTTCGTAGAGATCAGAATCCATCACAACAGTAGCGTTTTCTTTATTTGCAGGTAAGATCTTGATGGTGTTGTCTCTACGTAGCCCGTTAAAATCTCTTTGTTCTACATTCCTGATGTTAGATATTGGAACTAGTTCACGATCTAGCTGTTCTCTAATTTTTCATCTGAATTCTTCTGCCTCAATCTGATCAATAAGAGAACTGGTGGATTCCACTGCAGTTATTATTTCCAAAGTGGGCACAGATGTTGGTGCAATGGCTGAGTTTAGACCTTTCCTCAACAAGTATTCCTCTGTGTCCGTGAGCGGGCGGGAACCCATAACCCATGTTGATGACGTTGGCGTCTTCATAGTTGTCCTGTTTTCGGTCTGCATTTGGGCATCGTTTCCTCACCAACTTTCCTCACTTCCTGTTGTGGGTATTCTCCATGTATTGTCGAATCTTCAAACACGCGCTTTCAATCTTGGCAAAGATTGGTCCATGATCCTCTTCCGAGATCTCTCTTCTTATTTCTTCAAATCGTTCTGTGGCATCTTGTATCAGAGTTGACCTCCTCAAAATAACATCAAGTGGGCTTAAGCTGAAATCATCTACAAGGAGGAACACTGGTTCAGGAGAAAATTCAAAGAAGCCGCATATAAGTTGTCCAACAAAGAATTTAGCCAAGCTAGCGAAGAGATACGCAACATATGGAAACCCTAATCAAACGGAACACTACCAACTCCAAGCGGAGAGAGGGAAGAGGTGAAAGCACTCGAATGACCTATAAATAATTAGATCTCGGAGGAATGAGTTCAGTTATCATCCGAAGACGATTGTGGATACTAACAATCGAAACGTCGTGACTTAACTTGGTTTGGAATCTTTTAATTTTAATTTTTAAATTTTTCAATTTTTTTCATTTTCAGCTTTTATTGTTATTTCAATTTTTTATTTTTCTGGTTGTTGCTTGTATGTTTATTTCTTTGTAATTCAGTTTTTTGTTTAATAAAATTGTTATTTTCGGTCAATCTGTTTCAATTTTTTTCGGGGATTTCAAATCAATTTATATTATATTAGACAATGGAAGTTCGAACTGATGAAACAGACCTCTTATATTTCATATTGTAACGAATTAAAGAATTAACTGTCTTAAACAAATTTATTTTAACAATACTTCACTATCACAACTAATTTATTTACACCACTCAGTAACTAACGCTTAATTTATCTTCACCGTTTGTTAACCGCTCGATTCGCTTTCTTGGTACAGACTACTCTTCGG